TCTGTTTCTGAAAACTTTGAACTTAAATGTTTGATTTAACAAAGTTGATATCCAAATCCAGCTAGTGTGCCCTGTTATTAGCGAAAAGGCTTTTTTCCAGAAGTTCTAGTGGATATATTTTTAGGCAGTCTCAAGAAAAACTTAAATTTTATATGCTTGTTATACAGTATATTTTGTGCAAAGCAATCTAGGGCTATCTGTGCTAGCCGTTCCTAACTTAGAAAAGACAGGCAGTTAGTCAACACCATCCATCGCCAACTATTGGACTACTCTTTCCAAAGAAAAATGCGACTGTCACATTATAACCATCTTGTGATTGAAAGAACGGGCATGTTTGTTAACGAGATTTAAACCCATGATATGTAGATGGCGAGTTGAATCCCTAACAATCAGGCCATACCTCGACAGTTAGGAAGAAGGATGTTATCAGTACATCTACAAGCATGACTAACATGCAAAGATTTACTATATCATTTTGTAAAGTATAAAATTCAAGTTTAAATACATATACATCTGCAAATTATGGGCTTAAGTTACCTCCCATGGTAATCTTTGAATGTATTAGAAAATCATGTTTCCCGAAATGTGCAAATGTGTTGTTGAGTAAAAAATTACATAGCTTATAAGTTTTCGTATATTGTAAGTTAATTGTAGTTTTTAAGAGTAACATTAGCATAGAAACATTTGTTTCCACTAACACAATGCATTTATTTATCAGAATTGTTAAACTATTTTGAAATCATAGTTGAAAGAACTTTTAAATTTATCAAGGGAGACTTGTGTAAAGATTACTGAATGTAAAAGCTTCTATTGTTTTAGCCTCAAAGTCTTTAATTTTTTCTTTACACTTAGCGGTGTTTCCAATATTAATGACCGGATTAATATCGGTTCTTTCTTCAATATCACAGTATTTGTTTAAATAATCCTTAGAACTGACAAATCTTTATTTGTAGGTCTTCCAGCAATAGTTTGGGAGTCTAAAATAGATTTTAAAAAATTCAAACTGTACGGTGTTTCAGTACAATACTGTCTTTTTCTGTACTGACGTGTTTCTATCTCGTTAACTGAATTTTTATGTGTTTTTCAAATTTGGATTTTTTTGGTTGTCAAATTGTTATAAAAATTGTTCGACCCCACAAATAAAAGCTAATCTAAATCAAATTTATTGACACTTTTACCAACAGCAAGTAACAGCTAGTCCAAATCAAACTTAATGACAGATACATGTACCTTAAGGAATCCAAACACTTAGTAACTTTGTATTTATTCAAAACTTGTTAAATGCTGTTAATATTGTTATGACAGCGGAAGTCGCATGACGCTGGGAGCATGCGCGCTGGAATTTCTCAAATTATCGGGGAGCCCTGCAAATCTCCGAGTGTTTGCTAGATGCCCTCTTTTTTAGTATATAAGTCTGGCAAAGAAAGCCAGCGATATAGATAGATAGTTAAAGAAGTGAACAGTAGTGACGGTAAGTAAAGTG